AAAGATTTGGGAAAAACATTTAACAGTTTAGCCATCAATTGCCAAATTCTGTAGAATGATAGGTGAGACTCAGTTTCAGATAAATTGCCCAATTGTTTCTCGTTTTGGTTGAGTGGGTTAAGCAGTGTCAAAGAAGTTTTACAAATTGATTCTGGATGTTTATCTTTACCAGATCTCATGCCGATGCCAACTGAACACATCAGCCATCAATTTAATGAACTGAGGTAAACCATGAACATGTTGTTATTATCATTTTGCCACAGTTAACATCTGGAGTCAGTTCATTTGGTAAATATAATGAAATTTATCAAAATGACAGTATCCTAAACTTGAATGTGATTGCAAAAAACTGTTAGAGATGGGCCTCGTGGTCTGACTATAGTTACGGTAAAGCGAAAGGTTTTAGTGATGAAAGACTAGGTTATGTATTGATATTGTGTACATTGTTGTATTATGATTGAATATGATTGTTAATTGTAATAGTGTAGCTTGATCGTCTGGGTGAATGAAGTCCTGGGAAGGGCTGTTGTCGGTTGTGGTGACTGACGTTTCGACAACCTGAGCGGAAGTCATCATCAGAGTCAGGTGAATAGTTGTTGTCAGTCGAATGTTCCTAGTCCGATTTGTATAAACTGATTGGTCAGTTTTGCCGTGATATTATTGGCTGTAAGAATCAATCAATCAATTCTCAGGACTGCACTCACCCGGAAGATCAAACTATGCTATTACACGTTACCCTCGGGTTCAAACTATTTACTTTATGACTGTTTATTATTGCATTTTACCTGAAAAGAAATGAGATGATTCTGCTGTATGATTTGAAGCAAGCTGCTGGAAACTGTGAATTTGAAATCCAGTCTTTGAAGTAAGTTATTAACCATAGTGACGTTTGAAGCCTTAGCCTAATCGTCAGAGCGAGTGGCGCAGAGCTAACGCTCATAACGTCAACCTTACTCAAGTGATAAAACCAAATGATCTTGTATGATAACGTACCCATTAATTTTTTACGCGATTTCCTTGGCTACTTTACGTCACATGGTGCAAAATCGGTCAGTTATCACCGGACAGTTATCGCTCAATAACCCTTGTCTGCGTCGATATTTGCCCTTCGATTATTTCCGTCGAAAAAAGACAAATTTAGTGCTCATAAGCTTCCACTTTTCGCCTCTATTATTTTACACGGAAGAAAAAAAGGCTCGCCTCGTAGATTCTAGTGATATTAACATAATAAATCCATCATCGGCCGTGAACAGAGCAACACCGGTTTTTTTTACAAGCGGTCTTTTTTACAAGCGATCACGCGCTATATGTAAATCAAACGGAGGGTTATGAAATAAATAACCTTCCTTCAAGCGTGCTGGTTTGTCAGCTGATAATGTCCTTGGGAGAGAGTATCTTCAAAATTTCACATTTGCCCTCGAAGTTTCGCTTCTCGGCCACATATTCATTTTTGGGACAATCTCTCAGCCGCGGACATAATCCGCCAACATACAAGCTGATTCTATGGATTAAATGCATGTAAATTGAGGACTTTTTGTAGATGAATTGCTTGTACAACCCATGTACCTTACTGTGTTTCTGTAGGTCCTTTTCAAAATTTCCTGAATTTGAATCATGCAAGAAAAGGAAAAAAAAAACACTTTTATCTCTTGCCTATGTTGTGATAATCATTTGAAGTATCTTAAGTACCTTTTGTTTTATGATAGACATCGCCTGGAAGCATTGGGAAAAGACATATCTACCATAAACGGTATCCAGTCATAATGTTACCATTATTGATATCTGTTGCTTTATCTTGCAATGTTTTTTAAAAAAAGATTGTATCTTGTATTACGGTTCTTATTCTGTATTTCTATTTTTGTTAGTTCCTGTGGAAGCTGTCACTGTTGTTCCTAAAGTGGTGGGTATTTTTTTCTGAGATTGCATTTTCTTTGATGACATTTGCATAAAGTAATCCCCAACGATTAGAAAGAAATATGCTTTTATTTTCAGTTTCCTACATATACCTTATACGATGGTTTGATAGGAGCGGGTATTATGCGCGCTGCGTTGTATTTTTCTAAGCTCCGTCGTGGTGAGGAAAAACACGAGCAAAGAGAATTTTAGATTCACGTTTGGTCTGTTAACCGCAAACGTCAAACCGCGGTCAGCAGTAAGTAGTTTCTAAATTTGCAGCTTTTGAGATCGACATCAACGAAAAAAAAAAAAAAAACGTGCGCCGCCATCTTGAATTACACAAAGGATAGAAGTACCTTATTTTAAACACAAAATGTGGCTAAAAGTTTGGTTTTCTAGCATCCAGAACGGATTTGTTAAAAGGAAAAGACTTCATCTCACGTATATTTACAGGACGCCCGTTAGAACTTTCGAACAGGAATATTTAAAGCGCCAAGGGGGTTGACCCACCTGAAACTGCCTCGCCCAACGTTCTTTCGTGGACCGTAAACGGCGAACGTGAACGCTGCAGCCTGGTCACCTGACTTTTAGCGGTTTTCGGTCAGACGTACTCAGAAATAAACGTTGATCTAAAAACTCCCAAATGAGCAAAGTATCCGCCCGTATTATATGTTAAACCATCGAATAAACAAATTATGATTTAATTTTTTAGTATTTTAGCTTAAAGATTTTTTGAAATCTTGCTGCGGCCTTATCAGAGAGTCGTCTCGATTGCATAGAGTTTTTTTCTTTCGTTTTCAGCAAATTACAGCTCCTTCCTCGACACCTTTGATAGATGCCGTCACCCCTTCTCCGGGAACTCCAAACGCCGTGAGTATTGATAGCTAAATGTATGGTGGCAAATTCCGAACTGGCAGAGCCTCAAAATTTCTCCTTTGTCTCTGGCTCCAATTGTGAAAGAACTGGTGGATTCTTAGCCTGATCCAGGCGGTCAGTTAGTAAAACGGAACGAAATAGTAAACGGCACGATTGAAGCGGCGGGGTGAAAAAGCGAGGGAGGGCTTGGTCGGGTAGCGTTTCATTTCGTGATCCGACTTAAACTCTCCCTCACTATAAACAACGTCAAACAGAGACGTCACACTGGTTAAGGTCAAGTCACCCTAAAGTCATCTTGCCTAAAGTCATGTCGCCCGAAACCAGAATCATGTCACCCGATTTTTTGATATTACATGTAAAACATAAAAGGCAAATTATTACTAAGCGCTGAAGGTACTTATCGATCGAAGAACCCTATTGATGTATTTCCGTAGGTGTGTGCGAAACGATGGCATACCAAACCAACAATGCTTCATTTTGTTGTTCGAATTAGCAACGCTTCTAGAGTCGTCGCTCATAAATATTGTAGTTCTGACCATGTGATCGTTTTCTGTGCAATCAAAGTCTTTATGGTGTTGTCGGCAACGAACACCGCTTGAGTGATAAAGATCTCTCTTCTTCATTACCAATTTACATTGTACGGTCAGATCTTAATTCTGGTTTCATGCGACATGAGTCCGGTTTTGGGCGACATGACTCTGGTTTTGGGCGACATGACTCTGGTTTCGGACGACACGATTCTGGTCTCGTGCAACATTAGGGTATCAAAACCTGCTTCTCGATCCTTTTAATTTTGATTGTAAAATATGGCTTTGGGCCCGTTAGGTTACAGGTAATTTCGAGAAACGGGACCCTTGGCCGATGCTGGAGTAGAAAGATATAGCAAGTGCTCCATCGAACTTGCTTGTAGTGGAAATAAGAAATTCTTAATGAGTTCAATTTAATTTGTTGCATCTCTGGTTCTCCAAACAGAGAAAAAGAAGAACAACAACCTCGTTTATGGACCAAAATGTGATGAAGAAAACCAAAAGACTTTAGGAGCAAAAACACTGTGAGGACCCCTCAGTGTTTCTCGATACGGGATTCACGTAGGGATATTGCAAATGTTAGATTTGCATAACGCATTCAGTTTGTAAATAAAATAAAAAAAAAGTTTCACAAGATTCCTTTTGAATGAAATCTCTCTGTAATTTTCTTTCAGTCATATTTTAATTGTCACGTGTAAGATTGATTGTAAGAAATTGGTACACGTTTTGTTAGAGTACCCTAAAACACATCTTTCTCTATTTCTTTACCGAGCTTAAAACTTACCATCTCTCTTATTTCTATCTGTAAACATTAATTAATGAACCTCGCTCAACGTGGAGTCTTTGTAGCTCAGTGGTAAAGCATCGGAGTGCGGAATCCGAAGATCTGAGGTTCGATTCCTCATGGGGACTCAGAATTGTTTCTTCGTCCCGCGCTCTTGACAAGACGAAAAAACATCTTTCTCTACCCTACAGTTGTTCTGATAGTCCTTCGCGATTGTACAACTTGTCCTTGTTGCACTTGGGATGACGTAAAAACTCTGAAGGTTTTCGCTCACATGATATATGTTCGCTTTCGCGACCAACAATTGAAGCTCGACTTGTAAATGCAAATCTAAATTTTCCCGAATTCAGTGCGTTTTTATCTTCCCCAGTTATACCCATCCATACTTTCC